GAGCAGTTCTACCCTGCCCTGTCATGTCCCTGTGAGTCAGCATTGGCTAGATGGCTGTGAGTAAGTGAAAGTATTATTTAAATTCTATTCTCATCACCAGAACAATTTTGAATTAATAGGAGACTGAGTTCTTGAACCCATATTGTCTGTATTATCATCGATTGAAAAAAGTAAACAAAGAAACAAGTATCCTTTGCTTTGTGACAGAGCTGCATAAAGAAAGATTAAATTAAATCTGTACTGTTTAATAAGGTAGCCATGGCCACTGCAACTACTGAGCACTTGAAATGTGAGGAGTCTGAATGGTATAGATTGTAAGCATATGTGTTAGTCTGGGTTGACTAGAGAAACAAATTCATAGACACTCACATGTATAAGAAAGGGCTTCATATAAAGAGTAATTGTATATTTAAAAAAATCCCAGTCCAGTGCAGATCAAGTCCATAAGTCTGATATCCACCCATATGTCCAATACCAGTCTGTAAAGGCCAGTGGAAAGTCTTGCGGATCCAGTGGCGGTGGAAGCATCTCAGCAGTAGTGTGGGTCTCTACGTGGCTCCTCAAGCTCTTGGGCTCTGGTTCCGTCAGTGTAGCTCCATGTATCTTATCAGCAGGAAGATGAAGCAGAGAGTGTGGATCTGGCCTCCAGTGAGTTATTTATCTCCATAGCACCTCCAAATGAGGGCATTAAGCTGAGCACTGATTGACAGGCTAACCTCTGCCCTTTCACTCTTAATAGTCTCAAGTTGACACTAGGTTATATAACTACCACAGTATAATATACAAACAAGATTGTTTGTATATGTGGTAGTTACATAATTTTATGTCATCTTGATTAATAAGTACAGGGGTGGCGTCTAGCCTCTCAATCAGGTCACAACCTGATGCTGCCTCCTTGTGGGCAGGACCTCTCATGAGGATTCTGGATACTTCCTCTCTTTCTCTCTGGAGGTGGTCCACACCTCTGTTTCACGTTCCTGCTGTTGAGACACTTGCAGATCCTCACCAGCACTGAGATGCTTCCGCCACCACTGGGTCCACAAGACGTGTCACCCACCAGCCTGAGATCTTTCTGAATTTGGCATCATTGCATGTGCTGCGTGAGTCTGAAGAAGAATCTACAGACTAGTATCAGACATATGGGCTAATATCAGACTTACAGACTTGATCTGCACTGGGCTGGGAGGTTTTCTCAGTATGCAATTGCTCTATGACATAAAGCTCTTTCTTATACACATATGAGTGTCTATAAATTTGTTTCTTTAGTCAACCTGGCCTAACACAGCATATAAATTGTTATTGTTAGGTGCTGTCGAGTCAGTTCCAAGTCATAGCATCATGACTTAAACAGAACAAAACATCTCCTGGTCCCACACCACCCTCCTAATTGTTTTCAGTTGGAGACCATTTGTCAGCCCCTGCGTCAACCCATCTTGTCAGGGATCTTCCTCTTTTTCGATGTCCTTCTACTTTCCCAAGCATAATGACCTTTTCCAGAGAGTAGTCTCTTCTGATAACATGTCCAGAGTATGTGAAACCAAGTCTTGCCATCCTCGCCTCTAAGGAGTATTCTGGCTGTATTTCTTCCAAGATAGATTTTGTTTGTTCTTTTGAAAGTCCAGGTATTAGTCTGGGTACTTTGGAGAAACAAATCCACAGCAACTCACGTATGAGTGTTTTATGTAAAGATTAAGTTTGCATCAAGAAAACATCCTAACACAATGCTGCCCAAGCCCACAAGTCCAACATTAACCCATTAGTTCAACACCAATCCACAAAGTTCTCCACCTCACAAAACAGATGCAATGATGCCGACTGCAGGAGGAAAGCCGAGTCAGGGGTCTCCACACGGCTGCTCCAGCACCCAGGGCTGCATCGGGGTAGGTCCATGTGGCTTCTTCTTGGGGATGTCTTGTAGGAAGTCAGTCTTGCAAGCTGAAGCAGGGAACTGCTAAGACAGCTGCATCCTGTTGCGACCACAAAGCAAGAGACCCCAGAACTAGAAAGGCGAAGCTCACCAAGCCATTTATCCCTCCATCCTTCAATTAACCCCACATGTGTTTATCGGTCAGGTTGGCACAATTAACTAACTCAGTCCATATTTTTTGTTGTATGCCAGTGCCATAATTTAAATGCATCGGTTCTTCTTCTGCTTTCCTTATTCAATACCCAACTTTCAAATACATACTTGTATGAAGCAATTGAAAACACCATGACTTGGGCCAAGCACACCTTAATCCTCAAAATAACAGCCTTGCTCTTCAACACTGTAAAGCAGATTTGAGCAGATTTACGCAATATAACATGTCGTGTGATCTTTTGACTGCTGCTTCCATGAGCATTGGTTGTGGATCCAGGCCAAGGTGACATTTCTAACAACCTCAATCTTTTCTTTATTTATCTTGTTGCCCAGAGTATTTAAAAAAGTATAAGAAGCTCCCATCTGTACTTTTAATATTGATTACATATTGAAATGATAACAGTTAAATGAAATATACTGCTAAAATTAGTGTCACTTGTTTTTTCAGACCTCTTTAATGTGGCTGTTCCCAAACTAAAGTCAAACTTACCTGTCAGCAGTCGATTCCAACAGTAGCGACCATAGGCAAGGCGAGAACTGCTCCGATGACTTTTCTAGGCTGCGACTCTTTAAAGGAGGAGAAAGCCCCACCTTTCTCCTGTGGAGCGGCTAGTGGTTCTGAACAGCCTTCCTTGAGAATGGCAGCCCAAGGTGGAACCACTGAACCACCAGGGTTCCTAATGTGGCCATTAGAAATTTCTAAATTACATGTGTGCTTTCCATATTTTTAGTGGACAGTGTTGAGCTAATTAATTACCAAGGGGTAAATAGAACAAAGTATTAGTGGGAGTGGAATTAAATAAACCCTAACCCCTATATACAAGGAGCTCTGGTGGCAGAATTTTAGGAGCCCTGGTTGTGCAGTGGTTACATGTTAGACTGCTAACTGCAAGGTCAGCTGTTTGAAACCACCAGCCGCTCCTCAAGAGAAATTGGGGGCTCTCTACTCCCGAAAAGAGTTACAGTCTCGCAGGAGTGCCTCTCAGGAGGAGTTTTACCCTGTCCTGTAAGGTCACCATGAGTCAACATCAACTGGATGGCAGTGAGTTTTGGTTCGGTGGCACAGGTTGGCAACAAAGCCAAGTAGTTGGCTCCAGTAAAGAGGTCCAGGCCCTGAAACCAGGAGTTCTACTCTGCCCTGCAAGGTTGCTGAGTTGGATTCCACTCAATGGCAATGAGTTGTTGTTTTTATTTCGGGGGTAGGAGTGAGGGTGTGGTGGTGTTAGCAACTGTATTTCATCAGTAAAAAAAAACATTCCTTTTTATTTTTTCAGCGATAAGACTATATACACATGTGATGACAATTCTGTTGTTTCTCACAGCTTTGCCCTGTTTATACGGTCACTGCATTCTTAAGAGGCAAAGGCATTTCCCCATCAGGAAAGACCCTCTGAGTGGTTTGTCCCTGCACAGAAATGGGGACCTGGAGGTGCCCTCCCGTGCAGCTCGCTGTCTCTGCAGTCGGCTGGTCATTTGCAGCACAGCGTGCAGAGCCAAAGGGCGCCCACGAGGTCCTTACGTAATTCTTGGTAGGCCAAGTGTGGGTCTGCTCTGGGGGACTGGCTGGTGCTCTGACAGGCACACCAAGGTGCTCATCGTATGTTTTCCCAGTGTGTGCTCCACGTTGTTTGTTTGCAAAAAGACGGACCAGTTTCTTTCTTTCACTTTTTCCTTCCCCTCCCCCCAGTTTTTTTCTTCTTCTTTTTTTTAAGCACACTGGCATAATACTGAATGACTTTGTTTTAAGCTGCTTTAGTCTTTGTGGGAAAAAAAAAAAAAAGCTGAGTATTATTTCCCAGCGGGACACAAGTTGTTATTTTTGGAACAGAGATGCTTAGCTTGATCTCTGTCTAAACCAATTTCTGCTTTCTGCGAAGCTGTGGTCTGTGATGGCTCCACGTCCCCCCTGGAGAGACCTGTGCCACTTGAGAGACAGGGGACAGAGATATTGGGGGGAGGGGGGCAGGCTTTAAGCTGCACTACTCTCCTAGGCGTTCCCATAGATTCCCGTACCCCACCTGCCAGTGTGCCCTGGCGCAGTAGCAGCCTGCCTTCCCTGACTGTCATGGAAAATTCTTGCCCTGTTTGGAGCCCAGACTCTGCAGGACAATTCCCTTCTATTTCAGGAATATGGCTCTTTCTGCTTATGCCACTTCATGGTATGATCCCAAGGGGGCCCCACTTTCTATTGAATCCAAGGCCTTTAGATCACACACTTTGCTTCAAGTTGCAACCCGCTTTGTGGGAGAGCCACAGCCCACCCTGAGGGTCCCAGCTTGAGCCCCTGGGTTCTCTGGCAGTGTGTCCCCAGACTGGAGGGTCAGAGCACCCCTTCTGTAAGCGCTGTGGTCTGGCTGCTAGCCGCAAGGAGGAAATCCTCCCCAACTTCCCGCAGCTCCCCTTCCAGACCTGTTGTTAGTCTTAAGAGTGTGCACAGCTTTCTTGCTTCTTGAGGGAGGCAATCAGACTGGTAATAAGGACACCCTGCGGCCAGCACCCAAACTATAATAACATTTTGCTATTTCATTCCTTGGGAAACTGGTGCATCTTTGTGGGTTCAGGAGGCCGGCCTGTATGGAGACAAGCCCCCATGGATAAGGGGCTGTCTGGGAGACCTGAGTGCCGGGCCAGCGCCCCCCTGGCTGTGCCTCTGAGGATGGGAGCGTGCCCTGGAGCGTGCCTTTCCTTGGCTAGTTATACTTAGTCAGCTAAAGCTTCTTACACTGGAAACCTCTCTTGATCCCTTTAGCACCTTCCATCCAGGCTCACCTGCAGGCCACAAAGAAGCCTCGCGGAAAATCCCTTGAACGTTATTTTAGCCTTACGACCCAAACTAGCTCACTAGACGACCGAGTTGCAGCCCAAGCAGCCTGGCACCCTCCCTACACATCCCCCGGGAACAAACGTCTCTGGCAGAGCCATGGTCGACATGGGGGGCTTGGTCATCCTGATCGCCGACACAACCTACCTGCAGGTCCGAAGGAGCCCAGAAGGAGACAGCCGGAAGCTGCAGCGGCGCTGGCGGAGCCTGGTACTGCCCAGCCCGCAGAGGTGCACCGAGCTCCGCCAGGCCCTCACCCCAGACTTCCACAGCCTGTGTGAGCAGCAACCCATCGGCCGGCGCCTCTTCCGGGACAGCCTCGCCACCGTGCCCCTCTACCAGGAGGCCGCGGCCTTCTTGAGGAGGTGCAGACCTGGGAGCTGGCTGAGGAGGGCTCCTCCAAGAGCAGCCCCTGCAGAGGCTGGGGGCCACGTGTGCAGATGGCCAGTCACACCCCTTCCTCAGTCCAGTGCTAGCAGCCACCACCGAGGAAAAGCAAGAGGCTCTGGTGGCCCAGGCCAAGGGTGCAGCCAGGGCATTCTTGCAGGTCTCACCATTTCGGGATTTCTGGGCCAGCCCTTTCCACAAGTTCCTGCAGTGGAAACTCCGCGAGGCAGCCGGTATCAGACAAGTACTTCACCGAGTTCTGGGTGCTGGGGAGATTAAGTGTCTGCAGGATAACCAAACTGGAAGGGGACGTAGAACAGCCTAATAGTTCTTTGTTCGTTTGTTTTCGATCTCAAGGGAATTCCTCACTCAAAAACTCACTGGCATCAAGTCAGCGCCAACTCACGAAGGGGCGCACCGGGCGGAGTAGACCTGCCCCCTGAGAGTCCCTGAAACGATAAACCTGTAGGAGACTTCTCTTTCTCCTTCAGGTGCTTCAAGCTGCTGACTTTGCGGTTAGCACCCTCGCCTCCTCCACTGCCATCCACCCCTCCCTTTCTGTCTGTCTGTCTGTCTCTCTCCATTAAGGTATGTGCCATCCAAGTGAGAAACACTGGTGAAATGTATGCCTGTAAGAAACTGGACAAGAAGCGACTGAAGAAGAAACATGGCGAGAAGATGGTTCTGTCGGAAAAGGAAATCTTAGAGAAGGTCACCAGTCCTTTCGTCGTGTCCCTGGCCTACGCCTACGAGAGCAAGTCCCACCTCTGCCTGGTCAGGAGCCTCATGAACGGAGGTGACCTCCAGCTCCACATCTACAAGGTGCACGAGCGGGGCCTGGCCATGGACCGTGTGGTCTTCTACTCAGCCCAGATAGTCCGCGGGGTGCTGTACCTCCGCTCTTGGGGCATGCTCTGCCGAGACCTAAAGCCTGAGAGCGTGCTTCTGGACGGCCTGGGCAACTGCAGGCTCTCTGATCTGGGGCTGGCCGTGCAGGTCCAGATGGCAAGCCCATCACTCAGAAGGTGAGTGACTATCCACCTGGCCCAGGTGGGGGTCAGACTCAAGGAGGGGAGAGGGCTGTTCAGTTTCTGAGCCTGGACTTAATTCTTCACATTCCCTTTGCCCTAAAGCCTGTAGGTCGTCACTTGCCGTTAGTGGCAGTGGTGTAAGATGATTAGCTTAATTGGCTATTTGGGAGCTACTTTGCTCTGCTCTGGTGGGGGTGGGGAGGTGGCGGTTTCTTTGTGAACTAGAGATGCTCTGGGACTGTGTGGTGAGGTGGGAAGAACTCTGAATTCAGGGCCAGGGTGTCAGTGTGTTTCCACCATCAACTACCTCTGTGGTGCCTCGTTCCTGGGTCCACAGCGTCTCGGTTTCCTCTTGTGGAAAAGGAAATAACATTCTAGGCTCCACAGAGGTAAACTTTAATAGGAAAACAAAAGAAGACACCCTTAGCACCTTTCCCCCTAACTCTTAGCATATCACAAGCCAAATATTCCTTTCTTGTTAGGTTCAGAATGAAGAGATGCTTTCTAGTGCATGAAAGTAAAATTTTTAAATGAAAATACATAAAAGGTGTTGAACTGATGCTTATTTGGACCCATATTGTTCAAAGTAGCTTGTGGAGGAGTCTTTCACTATTATGTTTAAAAGGTACTCTGATCCGAGAATTATGTTAAATGAACAACACCTCTCTAGAATTCTGACCAGCCGTTATCCCAGAGTTGTTTCTGTGCACGAAGATAGGGGACTCTCCTGAAGAGAAGGCACTCCAGTCAGGTGCTTGCTTGTCATTTAAAATGTAACCCGTGCTCCGCTTTTCAGCTTACCAAGCAGAGGAGACCATCAGGGAGGGAGGGAGTAAATCATGGCACGTTCAGGCATCAGCAGGTGATTGTAAGTGGCTGCATGTGGTGTCTGTTGGGGTGCTGAGACCTGCCGAGGCACAGGTGCCCACCCAAACACATCAGGATGTTTTCTCTGGGCAGCAGGGAGCCGGAGAAGGAGGGTTTGCTTTGCATGACAATGACATGATGACTTTTGCATTTTTATTAAAAAGAGAAACCTGGCAATCATTAGGATGCTGGGTAGAAAGCTGGGAACTTAGTTAGGTGACCAATGCAATGCCCCAGGCAGAGATGATGGGGGCTTGATGACGGCAGTGGGACTTCAGGGGTGGAAATAAATTGGACCTGTTGGAGAGAAAGCACACCGGGCTTCAGGACCAGGCAGATATTCAGGGGAGGAGGGGGCAGTGTCTCTAGCTCCAGTGGCCAGAAGGAGAGCCCGCATTATGGGGAAGACGATGAGTCGCATGGCAATATGCATTGTAAGTGCAGCGCCCATGGAGCCAGCCAGCCAAGATGGGCATTTGGATCTCCAGGCCTGGTGCTGCCGAGAAAGGTCTGGGCTTATGTCTTAGTTACCATGTGTTTCTGTAATAGAAAGCACACAAGTGGGGGCTTTTAAGAAACAGAATTTTATTTTCTCACAGTTCAGGAGGCTGAAGGTTTGAATTCAGAGGGATGGTTCTAGGGTTTTTCTGAATGAAGACTCTGAGGAAGTTTCTTTTTAGCTTCTATTTAGCTTCTTTTTCATCCTGGTTCCTTGAGGATCTCATGTGACATGGTGCCTATCTTCCTCCATCTCTGCATGTTGCTAGTACAATCTACTCTTTTTATATCTCAAAAGAATTTGACTTAGGAGACACCCTACATGAACACTGCCTCATTAACTTAACTGAGAAAACCTATTCCTAAGTGGGATTATAACCACTATTATCTCACTCACTCACTGCCATCGAGTCAATGCTGACTGTTAGAGACACCCCGCCCCCACCCCACCCCCGTGCAGCTCTGAGACTGTAACTGTTCACAGTAGTAGAAAGCCCGGTTTTTCTCCTATGGAGCTTCTGGTGATTTCGAACTGCCAGCCATGCAGATCGCAGCCCAAGTGACCACTACACCACTGGGGCTCCACAAACCACAAGTAGAGGGGTTTGGGTTTACAACACATATTTCATGGGGTCACAGTTTAATCCATAATAACCAGATGCTGGGACTTTGGAGTCGTGGCTTGGGGATCAGCAGGCACTAGTGGGTCACTTGGAAGCAGTAGGACAAGTCTAGGAAGAGGAACATCAACAAGGAGGAGCTGAGGAAGGAGGCCATGAGGAGGCTGAATAAGTAGGTAAGAGTGGTATAGTCACAGGACCAGCATCTGTTAAGGCTTAATTTCAGCAGCATATTAGAGAAAACCCCCAAACATTAGATTACACAGGATACGGGGGTTGTTTTCTTATGTCATAAGTAATATGGAGGTAGGCAGTTGCTATTGTAAGTTCATCAGCTGCAGGATAACGGGTCAGCATCTGTGGTTTTAATCTTTTCCTTATGTTCTATCGTGTCCATGTTCTAAGAAGGAAGGATAAAGGATAGATGGACATGCAACATGATTGAGGTGGACACTCGTTTAAGGAGCCTTCCTGGAAGTGCCATCAAATGACTTCCCCGTCTGAAATGGGGCTTCAGAAGCTCATGGGAGATCTTTCCATTCTATTTATCCACAAACTTTTTGAAACCCCCTTTGTATTTCACTTCCTCTCTGCAGAAGAAATTGAGAAATGTCATTATTCATCCACATCTCCCCCTCCCCCTCCCTGCTGGGCATGAAGATCCTCGTTAGTAAGGGAGAAGAAACCGGGGATCTTGAGCAGGTAGCAGTCCCTTCTCCAGAGGAGAGAGGATTTCAAGGAGCAAAGAAGGGTCAGCAGTGTTGAATGCGACAAAGGCCATGCAGCCTTGGTATTTGGCAATTAGGAAATCCTGGGTGTCCTCACGGCCACTGAGTTGAGTCTGATTGGAGCAATCCTCTGAACAGGGGAGACTGCTCTTTGGGTTTCTGAGACTTTACATCTTTACAGGAGTAGACAGCCCCATCTTTCTCCCGAGGAGTGACTGACGGGTTTGCAGCTGGTGGGTTTGAACCGCAGACTTTGGGGTTAGTAGCACGCTAGGGCTCCTTAGTAAGGGTCGTTTGCAAAGATTGATGAGATCTAAGCCCAGTCTGCCAGGATGGGTTGAGGCGAAAGTAGAGTGAGGCCAGGCATGGAGGGAAGCTGGTAAACAGGAGGGAAAAGAGGGCCCACACAAGGAGGAGAATTCAGGAGTCTAAGGTGCTAAGAAGGAGCTGCTGCTCTGGGAATGGAAGAGGATGGACGATGGAGGAGAATTTAGGGAGAGGAGGTGGAGGAGATGGAACCGTTAAGTAACGCTTTCTCCTAAATTGGAAGGGAAGAGAAACATGCAGGGGAGGAGAGAGATGTGTTTGCCTTCTTTGGGATCTTGCTGTGGAAACAAGAATATCATGAGTCCATATCTGTGTATGCACAGAAATATTAAGGAAACTCACCAGGGTGTTAATCCATGTGTATTTCTACTTTATGTTTAAAAGAAAGTTTAAAAGCCTTAAAATGGGTCAAAGGGGAGATCACATTATAAGGTATTATGTTTTGACCTAGCTACATATGCCATCATCGACTTTACAGTGCCCTCTATCTGATGCCAGGACTAGTCACATCCCTCAGAGGGTGTTTACCAGAGGCTTAATCCATGACTGGATTTTGGGTTTACTGTCATCTGTAGCCTTCTGAAAATCAGGTGTTCACAATTCAAGCTTTGCTACCATTCTCTCCTTTAGATTTGAATTGTATTATTTCCCATCCTTGTATCACTCAAGCTGTTGTGCTTCTTCCATGCAGACTTAGTTGACACTTCACTTATATGGCTGCTTGCTTGAAAACAAGCCTTTAAGATTCCAAATGCTATTCTTTCTGAGAGCTGGGCACCATCTAGAGTCTTCAGCACATTTTACTCTAGCATCCATATCTTCAGTGATCTCTTCATGAGGTTGAATGTCAAGCAGGACAATATTATAAGAACTGATTGTTCTTAGATTGGAGCTAGAAGTAAGTGCAAGCCAAAAATCCATTCATGCATATGTTCATATATGTCATTCATTTTTATGTCTCTGGTTCACCTAAGAAGCATCACTATTATTTCATGTTATAGAATGTTATCAATCATCCCACAGAGCATCACTTCCGCTGTCATCAAGAACTGTCTCACAGTGACCTTATAGGGCAGCATACAACTGCTCCTTTAAAATCATTTTTAAGGACAGTGATTGAGTGGCTCCTATATCCACTTTTCCAGATCTTCTGGAACCTGCAGCAAACCTTCTGTGTCTCCACTCTAACAACTGCCTTAGTAGAAATTTTTACCTAGAGCCCCCTGACTTTTATTTATTTATTTAGAGACCTCTGGCTCTTTTGCCAGTTCTGAGTTCCTCTCTGTCCTGTGAAACAAAACCTCAGGCTTTAAGTCACATGCCCCATACAAGATGTTTTATGCCCCAGTGCCCAGGCCTACTGATAAAACGCCATGAGGAGAGATGGGAAAAAGAGATAGACCACAATTAGAAGCCGCCAGAAGAAAGACAGAGAAAGTGAATCTTCTCCTTGTCACTATTCGCCCCTCACCATTATTGGGTGCAATCTCTCCCTACCCACATAGTTTCCTATTGACTGCAGCAACTACATGTGTAATTGGGCCCTTAATGGACTTTGAAAGCCATTATATTCACATTTTACACAAGAAAAGAAAAAAGAACATATGTACAGGACTTCACCACTAATCCTTGAAGGTACTATCGGTATCCAAGACTTACTCAACGTCATGGCAAAGATAGGAAAGAAGTATCACCTTCATTATGAAGGTTGATATCTGCATTGCCTCTTCAATCCCTCCAGAAAAGCGAAGACACATTGTTCATGATCTGGAAACTTGACCAGTGTCTTCTCCTTTAGGGACTTACTTGATCTGTGTGACTTAGGATTGTTTTCTGCTGCATGTAACAGAACATCAGATTCTTCTCTTTTTTTTTTAAGATACATTGTTTTATTGCATCTCATTTTCTTTTTTAAAAAAATACTTTTATTGGGGACTCACAGTTCTTATCACAA